AGGAAAACTGGAGGCAGGAGCACATGGCCACAGCCCAGATAGAGCAGGAGCGGGCAGGTGGTGCAGCTCCCTCACCAACGCCCTGCCCGCGCTTTTTGGGCAAGAATTAAAAAATGGAGCCGAGTTTAGTCCCTGAGCAGCTGCCTGCACGAGGGCTCGCCTTGATTGCCTTCTTACAAAAGGGCAAAAATCAGCTGGGGTTAAACAGCTTGCCAACTCCCAGGCATCGTTCCCCTCCTGTCTCAGCATAGCAGGTTTCCTGCTCCCCGCTGCCAAATTTACACATGCGAGCCGAAACCAGTCCCTCCTGCCCGGGCTGTCCCCAGGATGTCACCTGGATGTCCACTGCACCTTCAGAGCTGCTGCTTCCAATGCCCTTCCTTACCAGTCAGCCTGTCAGCATCCTCCCCGCTTGCTATAACCCCCAAACCCACAACCTACTAATCTGCAAACCCCTCCAGAGGATTGCTCAGCTCTTTCCTCCCAGTCCTGAAGCACAGTCACTGCGCCGTTAAATAAGTAACATTTGGCTGCTGACGGGCAGGCAGCGAGCACTTAGTTTGGGGGAAAACAGGCAGAATTTCATTAGTTAATAATGAATTAATTTAATTAAAGGGCAGGTCAGCAGCTGGTGTGCATTGCCAGAGCTGGCTTGGGAGTGCCGCCAGCTTGCCCAGCTGAGGATCTGGCCAGCGCTCCTCTGCTTGATCCTCCCCACGTTATTTTTATGTTCGTCTTCCAGCTGAAGCCCAACTGGAAGACATAAATAACAACGAGCTGGCCAGGCGCGGGAGGGATTGCAGCGTGTTTCCACTAGCAGGGCCACGAGGAGGAAAGGACAGGATTAGTTTTCCGGCTCTGGGGGTTTAGAGCATCATTTAACAAACAAACAAAACGGGCTAATTGAAATGTGTTCTCTTTAGCTCTCACAGGGCAGGCAGGAGAGCCAGGCGTCCTTTACTGAATGCAAAACCCTGCAGAAGGGCTGAGGGAAGGAAAATGAAAAGTTCTTCCAGAAAATGGGAAAATGCTCCCAAGACACAAAACCTACACCAGAAATATGCCCCTTTTTTATTCATTTTATTTTTCTAGTGTTCTCTACTGCCCTACGTGCAGGGCGATGCCTCAACAGGCTGATGAGCCCCAACTTTGGGCCAAATTGTTCCACCTTTCTGGATTTGAAAAAGACAAACTAAGCCCTCAAGTGTACAACACTGAGGTGACTTGGCAGCTCTGCCGCTGCAGGAG